CTTGAATGATTGTGTAGAATCAAGCAAGGAGCATGTTTTGCATGATGAACCACAAAGATGACTACCCAAATTACGGTTGTCGCAAGAGTTAGTTTGCCTCTTGAATTTAGATCGTACTAATATATCACGAAGGTTAAGTGGTCTGCGATAGGCTATGAACGGTGTATCCGGATATATATATTTAGAAGGAGATAAGTGTTTTGTCTCAGAAATGTACTCCATGCGTAGTATTCTTGGAATTGGCGCACTGTAAAATAGGTGTGGTGGATCTGAACTAGTATTTTAAGTAAAACATTCTTTAGGCCTATCTCGGGATCTCAACCATAAACTATTATATATGATACTCATTATAAAGTCGGTACAGAACACACGTTAAGTTTCACTTATTATTACATTTATTCGGAGAATATCGTAATGTAAAATTAATTAATTAAGTCTTCTCGGATTTGTGGCTTGGATGTCGTCTAACTGTTATTCTAACTTACTTTAGATGACAGTAAAGTAGGAGAAAAGGAAACATTGTTGCACGAGATTAAGATGATCAGAATGTTGCCAAACCATGAGAACATTGTCCGTTTACTCGGCTTCACAGGAATCAGGGGTACGTACGCTATCATATTCAAAGGATCACTGTTTTATTATTATTATTATTATTATTATTATTATTATTATTATTATTATTATTAACAATAATAATAATAATAATAATAATACTAATAACAATAATAATAATATAAATAATAAACATAATAAAAATAATAAAAATAATAAATGATAACCTAAAACTATCCCAGACCCCATAAACAATGAGATCATCGCTACCGCACCATTTTCCAATTTAGAATTACTTTATTATTATCAAACAAATAATAATTCAATAACATAATTTACTGTTGTATTATCGTTGATATGTTTTATTTTATTTTGTGTAACATTTCCTTATATTGTGTTTTTGTGACTAGATCCAGTTGCCATGGTAATGGAGTTTGCACCGAATGCAGATCTGTCGAAATATCTACAACAATCCCGCGATTCGCTGTACGACAATCGTATTGACCAACTATCGTCTGCTCAGTTGTGTATATATGCACAGCAGGTGTGTTCCGGAATGCAACATATCCAGCGGCACAAGGTAACATTATAGACTTATAATACAAACACTTTTTTCTCTAGGCTTTATATAACTCAAGAATAAAACATAGAAAAAAAAGCATAGAACAAAAAAAAAAAGACAGTTAAAGCATGGAAGGACTAGTTTAAAAAATCCTCTGTAATCAAAGTAAACTTAACCCAATTAATAAAAGCGTTACCGTAAAATTTAAAACTGAAAAATCTTGATAATTTCTTTTAATAACTTTGTTTCTCTTGAATTAAAAAAAAAAAAAACTTTACCAAAAGGCATGTTATGCCACCTCACCAGTAATCATTATTATTTGGGTAGACTCGGACAGAGCATCCCTTCCCTTTGGAAATAGTACATGCTTAGGTCCATCCTATGTTACGTTGTCTTAGCCTGCATTATACGTTTATCTGTTTCAATTGCTTTTCTTTGTGTATATCTGCACCGTCATTGAGACTAGCGTCACATTTATATGTAAACAAAAATTGTGAGTTTTACATTTTAAAGCAGAAGTATCGTTATCTTTCATCATTATCTCCAATGTCATAACTATCAACATTATCATCATAATATTACTCCTAATATTATAATACTGAGCCATGGGCCTCGCCTATTGTTGTTATTGTTATTATTATTATTATTATTATTATTATTATTATTATTATTATTATTATTATTATTATTATTATTATTATCATCCTCATATCAGTATAGCGTTATAATTAATAATGTTATTATTACCCGCATATTTGTTGCAGATTATTCACAGGAACCTAGGAGCGAGAAATATTTTGGTTGGTGACAACAAGGTTTGCAAGATTACGGACTTTGGAAGAGCAGTTGTAGCAGACATCGATGGTACATTTGTGGAGACACAAGAGGTAGACCAAATACAGACCAGAAACACAATCCGGGTCCTATGGCATAATCTCTGGTGGAGGCCAATGGGTGCTAATTCCCCTTGAAGCCCGAAGATCTCCAGAAACTAAATAACAAAGAAGTGATTTTTACGTTAAAGCCCCATTCCCAGGAAAATGTCACTAAAAAATAATTTTTTTTAAATGCATATGCACTACTTAATTATTATAAACCTTGGAAAAAAGTGGCACAATACGCTAAAAGAAAAAATACCATGCATATTCTTGACGACTTCTTCGTTACTACTGTAGGTAAATTCAACGCTGTTTTACGTAGGGCATAATGTAGATAACATATATAATTCTTGGACATTAGGCCTAATCCATTCGCTTTATAAAAAAAAATAATAGGCCTATAGATGCATACTGTGCAAGGTGTTTAAAAGAAAAAAATCACATGTTATTTTTTCTGGTAGATTCAACTACCCGTGCGCTGGACAGCAGTGGAAGGACTACGTGACCGATTATTTTCCATGAATTCCGACGTTTGGTCTTTCGGAGTGCTGATGTGGGAGATTGTAACTCTAGGTGAAATGCACATGCCACAATTTTTTCAGGCTTCTTTAATATTAGCTGACAGTTCTTCAGTCATTTGAATAGTAATTCGATAAGGTTATCTGTCCTTTCGATAAAAATAGACATACAAATATCAAAATAAGTTATTATCAACACTACTAATATTGATAGTGATAATATTATTAATATTATATTTATTATTATAATGCATTACTATTACTACTAATTATAATAGTGTATATATATATATATCTTTATTATTATTATTATTAATATTATTATTATTTTATTATTATAAATACTGCTTTATTACCATCAGTATAATAGCTATCTATATTATAGTACTATAGTGTACCTTGCTTTTCGTACACAGGATCAAAACCATATGGAAATATGCCTATTAAGAAAATCGCTGAAGATGTTATCGGTGGGATGCGGCTAACAAAACCTCTACACTGCTCCGACGCACTGTAAGCTGTGTTTTTTTTTTAATAAGCTTTTAGTGTAAACGCAAGCACAGTAAACATAAATATAATTTACACAGGCCTATACGCTCATTCATACTTAGATGCATCATAACTACATATGATTAGGATAATAATATATGTTTATATTTATAATGTATCATTAAAAAAATTGTTGATAGTGTTGTTGCTGTTGTTGTTGATAAATTAAAAAAATGTACGGTACGGTACAAGTTTAATAAAAGTTTGGTAAATATTGGCATATACGTATATATACATATATATATATATATATATATATATAATATAT